GACAAACATGCCGCCACAGACGGACACAAGAGCCGACCAGGCAGCCTTACACCAGCACAAGCTGCTGGGGAAGGCGTCCTGAAAGCAGCACTCCCTAAAGAGCAGCAGCCAGCCCAGCGTGGCCACAAGCCTGAAAGGCAAGGGATGAGCACTGCCACCAGCCCCGCAACACCAGCACGGGGTACTGGGAAAGAGCCAGAATAGCCAGCGAGGGCAGCCAGAGCTTCCCCTAACATCAGGTCACCGGGTCTGTTCCCCTCCTCTGTGAGTGACGCGCCTGCAGCAGCCAGGGAGGGAGCAGCTCTCCCCACCCCAGCCCAAGCCCTCGCAACACAAGAAGGAGTTTGCTGTTGGCAGCAGCCAGCGCTCCCCTCTTCCAGCCCCAGGGGCCTCCCTCCACACCTCCCCTCCTTCTTCAACCAGGACTTCTCTCCGACCCTGCGGATTCAGTGCCTTTACACCCCACACCAGTCTCTCCTTGCAGGACCAGCTCTGCTTCTGAGTGCTTAATCACAGGCTTGCCTCTCCATCGCTTTGCTCCGAGAGGATGATTAACCAAGGTGCAGCCATCCCAGGGGAGCTGGGAGGAGAAGGCTCCTGGTTTAACTAGTGCTGTGCCCATGAGCACACCCTGACAAGGCACAGCCAGGGACGGCTGAGGTGCCCTCACTTCGCCTCATGCTGCAACAGGAGAAAGAAGCCAGACAGGTAAGTTGCTCCTGTGAGTGGTTGTGCTTCATCAGTGGACTTGCAAAAGCTGTGCCCAATGCTTAACCCCTTACAGAGCTGAGTTTACACTGACAGGCTGTCGCTATTTCATTGCGCGTCACTCAGGGTTTAGAGGTGTTTGCTTTTACAGGAAGGACACGTGTTTGTATGGGTAATGCTGAGCCGTCACAGCGTTTTGGGCAGGCCTGCGGCACCGCAGTGCCTGAGGGCTGCTGGAGGCCACAGGCACGTCCCAGGGGCAACGATGGCAGGCGAAGGCGCGGGGCCCTGCCAGCCAGCTGCTCTCTGCCCTGCCACCGCCTCGAGCCGTGGGGCAGCGGGAGGTCGCGCTCGTCCAGCAAGAACCCGGCATCACCTGGCATGATGCGTTTGCTCTTGGTTGCATCCAGACCTAAACACTGGTGCAGAGTCCAGGTTACACCGTGAGATGGAGTTCTCCCCGCCGGGGTGTCAAAGGCTGGCGCACGCCGCCGTGCTGGGCGAGCAGCACTTACCGGGCGGGCACAGACAAGTGCGGTTTGCTGGCACTCGCGTGCTCAGCAATCGCCCCCGTGCTGACAGTGGCACAGGGCCAACGTGCATACCCAATTGTTGCATTAGGAATCCCTGGTATAAAATGTGGACAAGAGCTCAGCAAAATTTGCAATGAACAGATTTAGGAGCTTATATTTTACCATGGGAGCTGGAATTCGTGTGTGAGGGATTTCTGGAAATGCCCCAGGGGAGCATGTAATTTTGAAGTCAATGCACAGAATAATGGCATAACATACAGCCTACATAGGGAAAGGCTGTTTGTTTTAGAACAAGATGTAAAGGACCAGCTGACGTTTACGGTCAAACTGGTTTAATACTAGATACACGTGCTTGTGGTACAACTTACCAGGGGCTGTGATTTTGTATATAAACCGTTTTGTTTCCTCTGTGGGGGCTGATTATAAAGTGTACACTGTTGCAAAGCCGAATTCTAACACCTGTTGGCGTGAAGCTGTTTCATGTAAAATAAACGTTACAACGTACAAACTTGAATTAACTCTTAGAGAAATATCGGGGTGGAGGTCAGAAGGCCTGTGCATCGCACTGACAGGGTGATGGTACAGAACTAGAAAGGCCGTGAGAGAATGCTGTTAGTCAGCCCTTGCCTTGGGTGGTTATTTACCGCAACTAGTCGTAAATGAATTAGCGCATGTTGTCGTATGCATCTGCAGCCGTGCATGTTTGTTGTCATGATAGTGATGTATTAGATGAAGCAAGTGGCATTTGAAATTCAGCTGCTGCAAACAAGGGAGACTGGCTGGCTAGCCCCTGCTTTAGTGCATGCAGATTGCGTTGGCCTCTGCGGTTGCCACCAAGAAAAAAATTCAGCCTCAGCCAGTCGCAGCGTGGGGGAGACCCTGGTGGGACTGAGAGGTGCTTTATCACACAAGGGCTGCTCAGGAGAGATGTGCAGGCCAAGAAGCCTGTGTTTGGTTTTGACACCCTTCTCCACAGGTGGCAGCCCCTTCCTAAGCATAAAGGAGGCAGAAATGGCATGGTTTTTGGAAGTACACAGAAAGGAATGTAACAGCTGAGGCAAGAAAAGCAACTGCTAAAGTAAGCAGAGGCAGTTCCAGCCTCAAATACAGACCTGGAAAGACTACGCAAAGCTCTAAGTATGGAGAAATTAAAAATCTGTGAACAGTTGGAGATGAAATTGCAAATCTCCAGGGTCCCAAGGCTCTCAAGACAGCTCACCAAGCAGTATATGAGAGCATATTAATGGGGATTATGCATCGCTGCTTGGTTTCCATACCTGTGCATGGATTGAGGGAACTTTTGTCTGCTAGAGGACAGTATGTGTTGCTGACAGCTCAGCTGCCCTCCATCCAGATGTACTCTGTTAGCGACAGACGCTTTCAGGTACACACCATGCCCGGGTCATGCTGCTGTATAAGAAGTGCAGTCAGCAGCTTATTTGCGCAAGGAGCTATTTTCTGTTAGTAGTGACCTTGGAGGTGCCAAAGGGAAGGGATGGAGCTGATCCTGCAGACGAGACCTTTGGAGATGATTCATTCCTTGCTTTGCTTTCTCCACAGTAACTGTCTCGGAACATCTCCCGCTGACCAAACGTGCGACTCAGCCCCAGAGCGAGCGGCAGAAGCTGGAAACAAACCTTCCCCATTGTAGCAGCAAACTATTTTCTATAATTCGCCACAAAGGCAAATTCACTTCTGAGAGGAAGGGCTGTTGTCTCCTCATGCCGATGATGCCTACTTTTCACTTACAAGTTCTGAGAGTTAGATCTCAGAGTAAACGTCTTAACATGAGCACACAATGTCTGTGAGTGAATACAGCCTGTGCAATCCAATAATTTATTAAACTTTCATCTTGTAAAGCCAGTTACAAATTAAAAAAAGACAGCAGAAGGAATTCTGTAATAGAAATGAGCAAAATTACAACAAATAGTAATGGGAGTTACATTTCCAAGTGGGTTCAAGCTGCCTGCAGCAACCCAAGAGCCAGAACACAGAGCTAGTGCAGAGTTAGGACAGGGATAGTCAAGGCTATTCTGATATATAAAGCGATCTAGTCAGTGTATGGACCGACACAAAGTGTTGCTTCTCAGGTTGCCTCTGCATTCCTGTTCTCTCTCAGTTGTGACCTGGACATCTTTTTATTCTTCATGACAAAAAGGGGATGTTTGTAGGATCTTTCAGTAAAGCTATTTAAGGCAAAACTCCAGTTGAACATATGATACACAGTAGTGGCTACCCTCTTAGGCTGGTTGTGTGGCAAGTGGACAGTGTTTGCACGTGCTGCAGTGCAGTGGAAATGAGAGAAAAGCACGGATTATGTACAGTAGGGTTTTTTTTGTGCTGTCAGCCTCAAAACTACAGTGTTCTGCAACACAGTATTAGTGACATGGCACAATTTGATGACGAATTGGAACGGAACCTGTTGAATATTGACTCCCAGTTTTCTTTTCTATGAAATTTCTACTTCATAGCCACTTCCTCAGAAATGGAGACATCTGATTTTAAATGTGGAACAAGGCCCGCATTACATACAGCTCTTCCGTTTCATTAAGAAACTGAATAGGCCTTTGCATTCTGGGATCCCAAGACTAGACAAGGGTCATAGAAAAAGGCTAGCCACGAGGTTTCTTGATTGCTAATGCAACCAATTTACGATGTGACTGATACTGAATATTGTTTTAAACAATGAAATAAAGTTTCTGACATCAAGAGACTGAAGATGACACTCATCTTTCACTGAGAAGAAAAAAAAACAAAAAACGAACTCTGCTTCTTCAAACTGCAAGTAGCTAGAAAAACCTCCAAGAAGCAGTTGTTTTGGCAAAACAGCTTTGTTTTCAAGTTTTGCTGATGACTAGGGATCTAGAGGAGGCTGGAAGGGGATTTGGGGATTCAGTGATGGGAGCAGTTCCAATTACAATTTGAGGAGGATGAAGGGTTTGGCATCTGCTTACAGTACAGAGGAAGTGAAATTCTTGCCTGTAACAATTTATCTAGGCACCTATTCACTCCCTAGGAAAGAGCTCACTTGAAACTAAAGTTCAGGGATCCCAGTCATCCTAAAATCCCATACAGAGAAAGAAGGAAGTTAACGCAGACAGGCTGCTCACCATAAAAACCCCTGACCTCCGTCTAAAACCTGGAGTTTGTGAAGAGCAGCTCTTCTGGAAATGCAACTACACCAATCTCACCTCCCAGGCTGCAAACACGAAAGGCAGTCATTAATTTTTAGGCAACAGGTGCTGCTTGGAATGTACCCGGAATGGCACCTGATGATCTATTTCAGTGGTGCTAATCCCAAAGATTTTCTCCTATGTTGGAGTATTTAGAATTTTAACTTAAAGTGCCACTTTTTACAGTCATGTACCTGTAAACTTCTCTTGGAAGGTCAAGAATCACCTTGGGTGTTTTTTTGTTTGTTTAATGCTCTCTCATGTAGGGTTTGACCTCTTAGTTGGACCACTTGGCTTCAATTATACAAAGGCAGTTTCTTTTAAGACCAGATCAGATTATTAGTATATCCTGAAGAAAAAACCCACAGTGACTTATATTTTAGAATTGCTTGTGAAATAAATAAAAACCAAGTGTTCTTTTAGCAGACTGTGCTGCGATCCCATGACCCCAGATGTTTGCATGTTGGAAATTCGTGAGGAAGCTTAAGTCTATCTCCTGTAGTGCAGAAACGATTCTTGTGAATTTTTCTGCCAGTATGACAGGTAATGGTGAAAGCAGCAGAGAGGACACGCAGGAGAAGGAGAATGCTTCTGACTTTGCTTCTTTAAGGTACATTGTTCATGAAACAAGCAAGGGGGGAACAAGTTTGGGGTCATTAACATTTAACAACAGTTGTTACTGTTTAATGTCTTTGGGCAGAGGTGCAAATCCTATGGTACTGTAAATGTCACTTCAGTTTTTGAATACAGTAGTCAGTCAAGTGGAGTTCTTAAAAAACATCTTTGCTACACTCATGCTGGCAAGTTGCAAATACCAATCATTAAACAACTGCCTGCCTCTACTGCGGCAGTTCAGTCGTATCACCTAGTCCAGATGCTAGCATGACTGTCCACGCTGGTTGCTGATTTGACGCTGCAGCGTTTCTTCACAATCATGTTGATGTATGCTTTCATGATCTTTATTATCTCGCCCACCTAGAGAGAGAACACAGTACAGAGGATACGCACATTAAAAACCAAATTCCACTGAGGCACAGCAGACATTTTGCAGAAAAAGATTCCCCTTGTCCAAAGTCACGGCACTATAAATTTTGCATGTAATACTACATGTGAACACGACAGTAAGGAAAGAAATGCTTGACAAGCTTGTGCTCTGTTGTAGCAACGTTTAAAAGGCTTGTAGCTCAAAAAAAGGCAGCTTTAATGCTACTAAACTTTTTTGGGTTTGTGAACTCCCCATTTATATACTGGAAGGTAATGAAAAAAACTAAGCACACTCATGAGCACCCAAAATTGGAAATTCCCAGTGCACTGAAAGACCATTCAACCTCCTCTGCTTTCTAACCAGCATAATTTTTTTTCTGTTTATCCCTGTATTCAAGAAGAGGTACCAGGGCACTTTAGGCCTAAGCTCCCTTCATCTTTTTCCTTGGCTGTCCAGTCCATTCAGCAAGAGTTCTTGTATATAAACTTGTCTAGTCCTTGGAAATTGGAGCTTTACTGAAGTGCTAGTAAAACCGCACATACAACAAGTCTTGTGCTTTCACATACCTGGGATGTTTCAAAGAACATTTCTCTCTCATCCACTGTAATTTTGAAGGTGTTAGGCTGTGGTGCTCCGAAGAAAACGATGTGCTCATACTGGAAAGTTTCTAGTGGTTTAGGATCCCCTCGTTTGTAGACAGACACATTCTCTGTGCTGACTCCAAGCCAAAGATCATTTGGAAAGCCACCCTCCTTGCACTGCAGAAAGAGAAACGTGAAATTTTGCATAAATGCAGTGAAGGATCAAATCATCTTTGATCCCAGGAAAAGCCCTCCATTTCTGCCTCCTATAGGACATTTCAACTCTTCACCCCAATAGAAAAATAACAGGATGTCTGCAGAAGGAATCTTGCAGGCACTCCTGCTGCAAAGATTTAGAAGTAACATAACTGTGAGTCAAATACTAGTTGATTAATAAATAACTGTAATACCTAACAGCTCTCATCAGATTTTAAAGTGATTTAGGAAGCCAATATTCCACTCATCATTTTACAGATAACCTAGTGAGTGCAAGCAACTTCCCAAGGTAATCCACCAGGGTGGCAACAAAACTGATAAAACTGTGGAGTCCTACTCTAGCATGCTAAGCACAGCAGTCTAAGTGACCCACTCTCAGCAGTTTCTGTTGTACTGCTGCAGAACGGGACTGCACTTTTTGCCAGTAAGGGCAGTAGAGCTTTGTTTTACTTTCACTTTCACTAGTCACCACCTTCTTAAGCCCGAAAAAATTTCCCAAATTCTATTGCTCATCTAATGAAGTGGGAATCCATTGTCTCCCTCCACTTACCAGGGTGCACCAGCTTGCTTGCTCTGCGCTCTCTGCATCACACCTCTTTGGGTGTGTGACACTGCAGGCTGACCCTTGGCTTACTAAGGGAAAATGCAGCCAGTTCCTGAAACTCCCTCCTGCTGCTGAGCAAATGTAATGCACACAGCTGTATCTGTTCTCCAGACTGATGCCTCTCCTTGCAGTAGTTACATGAGTTTATACACCACTCACCTCAACATCAAAGAGGGTTGACCCGTAACCTGGCCACTCCTTTACAATGGACATGTATTTCACCATAGCCTGATGCTGAGAGAGTCCCTGCAGCTTGGTCCATTTCTGGGCTATGCTTGCTCGAGCAGCTGAAAGCTCTTCCTTTACCCACATCTCCATCATCTGCTCCTCTTCTACCTTCTGCTTCTTTACAGAGCCTGTCTTGAAGCTACGTTTCAATGTCCCTTCAAGGAAGCTGGTGCGTCTCCTCTCCAGAGTATGGCTGGTAGTGCCGCTGCTCTTTGTTGACTGCAGTATTTTGGATTTTAGTCTGTTAACTGGGTAGATTCCATCAAGGGACCAACTTATTTTAGAATAATCTCCATGAAGGTACTGCAGCCGTAGAGCTGCTAGGCGCTGCAGAGTGTCCTCCGGTGCAGGAAAATGACCATCTATGAGGCTTTCATGAGCCTACAAACAAACAAAAAGTCCCCACAACTCATTAGAAAGCAGAAGCACACTTTAATCACAGCTGTGTCCATGTACAGATTCCTATGGCACCTGCCCACCCCAGCACGAAAGCCAGTCCCACAGGAAAGACATAATTCAGGAGGTCAGAGCAGACATTATAATAAAGAAGTCAAAGTCTTTCTGCAAGCCTGGACAGGACAGAGGTCTTTGAGGGTCTCCTATCCTGTACTCAGAGTCTTACAATGAAGACTTTTTAGGTCTGGAACAGATGACAGACACTGGAATTGAAGCAATTTGTTTTGTGCTGTACCAGCTATAGCTCCTATGTGTGGAGACTATATTCAAAACCAGAGTTAGATATAACAAACTCAAGACTCTCAACCTCAGTCTCATTGCAAACCAGCACCTCCCACCTCCTCCTCTTTCACCTGATGTTTCCCCAATCTTCTTCCTTCCCTTTGCCTGTTTTTCTGTGAAATATATTTAGGTGTGGGTTTTTTTTTTGCTACAACCATCTAATGTCTAATAGCATCTACTCTCCTACTGTTACTTCATTTCCACCACTCTTTGCTAGTGAAAGCTGTGTAGACTGAAACCCTTGTCAACAGGGAGTTTGGTACAATTGAATTGCCACAGAGTACCATGATGTCTTGTTCCTGACATCTTGTGGCCTAGACATTCTGTAGTTAACAAGACTTAATCTTCCTTTCAAGAAAGCCCTCCAAGGGAACCACCGTCTGTGTGATCTACATGCCATCCATTTGACTATCAGCGAGTTCCAGTCTTCATGACACTGACCCCGTTTAACACATATTAATTAATTTTCAACAGCCATAATTTTCTAAGGCACGATCAAAGTATTCATTAGAAGTAATAAAGATAGGACGAATCACACAGCTGGGTACTCCAGTCTGTTTAGCTTTGCATCCCTAACTGCAAGGTTATTTCATACCAGTGTATGCCTAACCAGCATCATTGTGCTATGGAGTATAGTGACTTAAAAAAAATTATTCAGCAGATAAATATTGTCAACTACATTCTCTTTCTTTTTCTGTAGTACTCTTCTAGTGCCTCTCTGTTAATCAAAAGAAATTGCCCAAAAGATAGAGTTTTTTTAATCAATTCCTGTAACACTCCAAGGATGTGCTGTTCTTGTAAGCTGATACGCAGATGGCTAGATTTTCCAGTTTTCTTTATGCCTATGTTCCGCAAGCAGCTGCTTTTAATGGTTCTTCTTGAATCATTATCCAAATTTCTGTATCTTTTAGAATTAAAGATAAATTTTTTAAGCATTTTATTACCATTGGTCTTCCAGTTTTTTGAAGTCCTTGTTAATTTTTCTTGCTTTTGTTCTAATACTCCTATTCCCTAGAGAACCTCACAGTTTATCTGCTTGGTAAATTGCAGGCAAAAATCCAACACACTAAATTCTCCTGTTCCAACCAATATTCCCACTTCTAATGCAAAGGTAAGCCAGTTTTCTGAATACTCTTGTGTGCTGCTGCCATCCTGGAAACCAAATCATTCTCCCAGAGTGAGTTTACCTGCTCAAACATGAAGGCAAACTCCACCCCATCTTTGGGAACATTCTCAATATCCAAGAAGCAATAAAGCTTAAAATACAACTGCCACTGTCCTTCCTCCTCTTCTTCTTCAGAGCCAGCAAGCCTGTAAGAAAGGAAGGAGAATGAGGGGAGGAAAACCCACTAACCAGAAGCACCATAGTACTGGGCGGGGCACAGTGCAACTCACAATATGAAGGTACCCAGGGATTTCTGAAACAGAGAACGTACAGAACTACCTAATTTATCAGGACAATCTCAGTGCAGCAGACTTTTCTGGTAACTTCCATTTCTTCATCTGAGTCACATGAAATTTTGATTCAGAAGGACCCAAAGTTCTTATCAGATATACTTGATCAAAAAATTAGATCAATAGTTCTAGATAAATGCAAGAGTTGGGGGCAGGACACAAAGTATTCCCCATTTTCAAGATACTGTTTCCATGTAACCTTGTGACTGTGAGAAGCACTAGCCTTGCCACCATTTGGAACAGTTTTATTCTTGTCTTTAGAACAGATAGAAACTAGACAGTGGCACTGCTAGCTTCTTTCACAATTTGTTGCTTTCTTTGTCTGTCTGGCCACGAAATCACAGTCCACAGCAAGAAACTGGAGCTGCATTTCTGTGCCCAAATCTTTGCTCTCTCTTCTGATATAGACATTACGATGTAAATTGACAAGATCATTATCAGACTTAAAACAAACCTTCCCTGAGCTTTGCTAGTAAACTATTACTCTTTCATAAAGACACTACTAATTTTGTCCTGATGAGCCTGACAAAGATGTGAACATGGTTCTCTATACATGAGAAAGAGCACTTGAACCTTACCAAAGGGAAATTCAAGCCAGAGTGAATGGTTGAATCACCGAAGCTCTTTTGGATAAAACTACCTGACTGCACTGTCACTTAACCCAGTGTTACATCCAAGTAGAAGTTAAAGGTTTTATGAAACATTCTTCTACCTCTCAAACTTGGCCAAGATATCAGCCACAATCACCCGACTCTCAACAGCACGGTCCACCTGCTGGTTGTGTTCAAAGAGTGCAAACATATTACGGCTGTCCTCCATCGCTAAACCTCGGATCAGCTTTTCAACCACCTGCAGAATCAGAGAGAGACAGATCACAGAGTAGGTGTAACACACACTTTCACAACAAAGAACCAGTACCTCTTCAGAACACTCCTCATTTCACAGACCTCCATCACATTTCTCCCTTAGTTATCTCGTTTTCAGCTTAAAGAATTCTAACCCTAAAATAACATTCCCTGCAAGGAAGTAATTAATTATGTTTGATCATCCTCGCTGTTCTTCTCTGAACCTTTTCAATCTCCACTACTCTTCTGAAGAAATAGAACTCTGCATAAGATACAGGTACATAATGGATTTAGATGTCATGATGATATTCTCGGTTCCTCTAGTAACAACTCCACTCTTTACTACTAGTTTTTCCTCTGTTTAGCACTAATGTTTTCAGACATGCCTACTATAACCTGGAATCTTGCTTCTGACCTGCTAACGATTAAGTTACTGGTAGAATATCCCTTCCAGAAGGAATACATTATGAACTGGAATTTCAACTTGTCCAGAAAACTGTGTTTAGCAAGTCTTCAGAATTATTACCTTTCCAATGGGCAGAACACCAAAAGTGTTTAGATTTTGCAATATAATTGTTAAGTGATATTCTATAACCCAAGCACAGGCCTTGCATAATTCTGAACCTGCAAAATAAGCTGAGCTTTTCCTACAGACTTTGCAGATACCGCAAAATAATTGTAATTAAAAAGATACATTGGAGATGAATGGGAAAAAGGAATCCCTTCAACAGACCCAGTATCCAGACACAGATGTGCTTACATCTGGTTAATGCTACTACTGCATTACCTCCCCAGCGCTTGTGTGGGAATTGATGGTTATTTTACAGGAGCCACCGCCATGGCAGTACACTGTTGTGGTCATTTCTTCACGGGTGAGAAGAGCCTGTATTTCCTCCTGGGAGGGCACAAACTCCCTTGTCTTTGTTCTCTTCAGGGAATCACTTATGAATTGCGCATACCTGTCTATTTCTGAGCCTGGAAAGAGGTCTTTTACCCTAATTGCAAAGAGAAGCAAAAAAAAAAAAAAAAAACACCCCATTACACAGTGAACCAGAAAGCATGCACATTACCATATATCTTGGACTACTGTACATAAAGATTTCGGTAGAGTTAGTGATGTCAAGTGCAACCACAGGAAGAATGAGCCTGCTTATTTCCTAAACTGTATAGCCTGCTTTTACTACTCATTCCAAAGTCACTTCAGTGACATCTCTCAGCAATGTATGAAATAAGCAGTTCAGAGTTTCAGGAGTTTAGTACCTGCTGAAGATAGCAGGATTAACTACATCAATTTACAAAGTTGAGATTAAAAACTATGGAATCAAGTGTAAACTTTTTTTTCCATTTATTCTTAATTGTTTTTAATTTGCTGGCTGTGCTTGAGCCACTTTCACAGTGTTTTTCGGAATCAAGAAGATAGAAAGTAAATGCTTGTACACAGTTCTCTTCCCCCCAAGGCCAGCAGTTCCAAGTATAACTTTATCTGCAGCTCCAGTCATAAAACACGAAATGGCAACATGGACTATTCCTCAGCATCTCAGAACCAGGCCCTGCATGTAGCTATTTGGTGCGGTGGCATAAATTTCACCTCA